GACAGCAGCCATCCTCAGACACTGATGATGAGGATGGAGTCATGACACGTGAGAGGAGAAAATGAAGGGGAATAGAGGGGACTGGGATGACTTAATATAGATACGTGGAACAGTGACAGAAGAAAGAGCTAATGACCATTAGAGGTGGATTTTAAAAAAACAAAGTGATGCCATGGAAGAAAATGACTGAACAAAGATAGCAGACACAAAACACACAATCACCCACGACAGGGTTTTTTGGTGAAAATGAAGGGCAATTGTAGAACAGGAAGAAGATAGGGGCAGGGGATATGTCACAGGAAGGGTTAACCCCTTTAATCAGCTCCTGTCGGGTGACGAAGAGTGGGAAGAAAGAGGACACACCTCACAGGACGATGGCTGACTGGATTTGACTGACAGCACCTCTTTGTGACTCACTGACTTGGCTTCTCTGGTGTCTCTTCGTGTGCCAGCTGCAGAGGCTTTCAGAGTTGGTTTAAATAGTGGACACAATGTTGCCATACCTTTATCCAGATTAACTTCACCCTCTAAATCTGGCTTCACATCGGCTGACGGCTGACAAGCCTACGCCCCTTTTTGTCTGGCAGCCAGCTCTGATTTTCACGGCAGCCGGTTGGTAATTGTTTTGAGTTACCAAATTGCAACTGGAGGAATTGGATTACATACCAGGATAGTCCCCCCTTCACCCTTCTTGTTTGCCCTAGATTACATCAGAGCAAAGACTCCTTCGTTTGTGAGTAAGCACATACCTTATAGTCGGAGGGGAGGCCGGAAACATAGCTTATGTGTTAGAGCAGAAAGGAGATAATAGGAAATATGGAGGAGGCAAAACAGCCCTTCCTGTGCATGGTTTTCTATTCATCCCAATGGAAAGATAAGAGAAGATGTTTGATGGTGATCTAGTTTCTGTTTATGCAATCTAGTGTGTGTGTGAATGGGAATCTGCAGGTTTGCCTATTGTTCACATCTGGCCAAAGACCAGGGTTTTTTTCTGTATTCACATCATAAATAATGAACAACCTAGAAGGAAATGAAACATTATCCATATAAAACTCCCCAGGGTGTCTTATCATGAATGACATTGATTCATTCCTGTAATACCATGATCACAGTGTAAACCTCGGCCAATTATAATAACTAAATTGAGACAGATAAACATTGTATCCAGCCACAGTCTGGGCTTCTTCTCCCAAAGCTATTTATTAATTAATCTTCAAAGTGAAGGGCATGGGTGGGTTGCAAAGCAAGGCCTCTCCTGGGTCAGGTCGACGTTGTAAAGCTTTATGGAGAAAAATGGAAGTGTCGAGCAAAGAAAAAAAGGTTCCAATGCAACAGGATTAATTTGCACTTTATGGTGTGTTTGTGCAGAGGTAGCTGGGGTCAAAACTGGATCCAGAGAACGTGGAGACTGCCTCTGTCTTGTATATTTTGGTACAAACCTCACATAACGACTTAGTGCGGTTCCTTGGCTTTTCGACCCATCCGAAACAGCTGACACAAGGCCCATAGGTGGGTGTGTGAGCTTTGAGTTGAGGTAGTGAAAGGCACAGGCAGACAAGAAGGATTTTCTTTTATTTTTTTTTTGGTAACTCTATTAAAAAGAACCCCTGGGATGTTAAGACGACTGACAGCTGGGGTGGAGCCTGGGATGGCAAAGCGGGAGGGAGAGTGTTTTCATGTGTTTATGTGTGTGTTTTCCTTCACTACTGGGACTTATATATGGCAGCAGGGCAGTCTCTCAGGGCCTCGGCTGAGTGTGGCGGGGGTTCACTGAGGGGTGTATGAACAGGCCGCGGGGACGACCCGTGGAACACTCTCGTTATCCTCTTGGGAACGACACTTTTGAGGTGCATCCCCACCCCGGCCCAACCCCCACCCTTCACTTCCAATGTGCCGAATCAGTGGAAGGCAGAAACCCAGAGAGTATCCCTGACACTAATATGGAAAAAAGCCTGTTTGGAGTGAATATAAGGGCAAATATTATTCTTCCTGAATGTAACCACGGCAAGCACCTCTGACCTGGCAGTGAAAGTGCTGAAACAAAAAGCCCAAAGACTTTTTCAGCTCCATCAAAGGAGAGCTAGATAAAATAAACACGGCCATCAGATTACCACGCTGAACACGGGGCCACGTTAGCCTGCGCCGGCCGCTTTGCCGCCTAACCCCATAGCTCTATGGGAGTTAAGTGTGGGGTCCGCTCAGTCAACACCATGACGCAAAATGGAACAAGCCTCTGACAGAAGCCCCAGGCTGATGGAATAAGGCCCCTACCCACAGGCCCACAGGCCCCCCGGCCCGAGAGAAACACACCGAGCAAGAACAGGAGGAAGGAGGGGAAAGGTAGATGAGGAAAAGAGGGAAAGACCACCCTTTCCAAAGCTATGCCACTGGCTCTGTCCCAAACTGAACAGCGCACACATGCAAGCGGAGAAGCAGCAGCGGCAGCAGGTCAGGACAGACAGCCGCCAGTGGAGGGACGGCCGGAGCAGGGCAGGGCAGGGTAACGTACGGCGGTTGGTGGTGGTGGTGGTTGTAGCAGCCAGTGAGACTGTGAGGCTTAGCTGGCTCGCTCTCCTAACAGTGGATGGCCTCAGCCCAGTGGATCTGACCTCACAGGGGTTCTTTCATATCCCTGCGCGTGGCTCTGTGCGTTTGGGTGTAAGTACATGTTTGCGTACGCCGAGAAAAAAAAAGAAATAAAAGAAAAAAGTCTGTGTGTATTTCATGTTTGTGCGACACAGTCATGAGAAAACAGATGCGTCCCTTGAGGAATACCACAGCGTTTCTGCTGGCCTTTTAGTCACCTTACTGAGGCTCTCCTGTCCGTTTCATCCACGAGCCTCAGCCACAGTCTGCCTGCGTCTGACAGATTTCCCTCGCAGCACCTCTGACCTTCTCTTCAGTCATTTCAAACCTCAGGCCGATTGCTACACCCCCTGTCTGTCTTTTTGTGTGTCTGACCCAGCAGAGGCTCTCCTGCTCACTTGTTTCCTTCCTGGCCTTGACACACGACTCAGCCCGGGGCGGTGCAAAATATTCCACTCTCACTCCGTTTCAGTCAGAAGCCGACTCTTTGGTCAGTATGTCTCATGCAACTAGGTTCTTAAATGTTTTTATTCTGAGAAAGCAGACACCATGCTACTAACCCCTCCTTTGATTTCCTGATCGAAAAGGTCACAAAAGCCTTTTCAGCGGTCCCGTGGTTACCACATTCTGCCCTTTTGGCCTGACATACGACTTGAAAAACCTCCTTATACTGCAGGCTGTAGGATGACGCAGGGCTCAGGTAAAGTGTTACCAGATCAGAGAAAAGATAGTGAGGCCCTGCCAGGTTGTACCTCTTACTGTTAAGTGTGTGAGAGCCACGGGCTTTTTTTCTGGTTCCTGAAAATGACTCCTGTGTGTAGAACAACGAACACAATCACTGTGGTCTACGGGGCCTCACACCAGCAGCATTACATTACCGAGCTAGCCTCCCTACTGTTCTGCTTTTCTTTTCATCCTTCCCTCTTTTCTCCTCTGACTCAGCTGTTTTGTAGGAAACTCCGTCCCTTTGAAGAAGGGACGAATCTTTCATTACTCGAACGCAAGGAAAAAGAGGGAGATGATAGGGGCGAAATAACTGCGCCATTGTCTTCCCCCCCCCCCCCTCCCTGTATCCACCACTGATAATTGTGTTACGCTAATTACAGAGAGCTGCCACAACAGGTGTGGGACTCTGCACCTGGGTCAAGAAGTCTTCCAAGTGTATTTGTGTGTGTTTGTGTGTGAGTGCGAATGATCAAATCTGGGTGAAAGTGTATGACATTTAGTCTCCGTCTGTTATTTTGATCACAGACAACCCTATCACATGCTTACTAAAGCCCTCTTGTTACTTAATAGTCCTCAGACTCAGTGGTCAGACTGCGTTGAAGATGACTGTGAAATCAAACAATTGCGGCATGGACCTATACCAGTCTGAACCCCATCTGTGTTTGATTATAAAAGTACAGACTACATGTGTGTGACATTACTGGAAGGCTGAAATTAGCACACAAACATTGTGCATTGTCACTCTCACTCATACACCACACTGGATTTCAAATGAGAGTGATTACAATCACCTAATTGATAAATGTAACCACTGAGAGAGGCTCCTCATGATTCATGATCTATATCCAGTCTTTCTCAGTGGCATGTTTCTTGATGTCAGCAGTGGCAGAAATTGGGTAGACAGAACCGGAGGCAACAGGGATGATGTAAGCAGGGGTTTCTCACGGGATCCGTGTTTTTGTTGTACTTTTTACCGTAAAGGATCTCGTCTGCGAAACTGACCGGAAGAGAGGAAGCTAGCTGGCTGTGTGCCAAAGGTGTAGCGTTATGACTTGAGTTTTTTAGACGTCATAGAGCTTCGCTCTCAAAACAAAGAACGTGTTGAATTGTTTGTTGAAGACATCTGGCTGGCTAGACTGTGAAATTGACTGGATATGACAGAATTGTGACAAACCAGTTCAAGTTACTCATTGTATATAATGATATCAACAGTCCTCTGTCTGCTTATGACAGCTACTTATTGCTCAATTTCAAATTGGAATTTTTTTTTATATTTAAAGGATTGTAGCGCAATAGTGAAAGTTTACCCCCGTCAACCAATGTGTCACACCAACTGAAGGGAAATGAATTCCTTCCCTGCTTTTAAGTCACCACACTTGGCCTTCATGACATCGTACCTTGGTCATTATAGTCTCATTAGCCCAACTGAGTCATGACCCTGCGTAAAATGGTACCATTATTACAGGAAATGGGAATGTGGCTTTGGAACAGATGATAATGTAATTGTATCAGCTCCCTGGTCGAGTAATTCTACCTGCAGACTCATCATTTAAAGTCAAAGATGATTGAGTCCTGTGTCGCCACCTTGTGGAAAGTCTCTTTGGTGGGGCAGCTTTGAAGTGTGCTAAGCCCTAGGGCCCAACTGTGGGACATGAGCTACTCAAAGATCATACGGAAACTGTAAGTCCTTTAGAGTAGAATTCAGCTTTTTATTAAAAACAAGCAGTTTGAAAACATACATGGAAGCCGAGTAAAAGAGTCATGTAAAGCTTAAAGTACATGGGCCAGAGACATGGATTTTTACTACCCTCTTTAAAATAAATCCTATAAAGACATAACAAAGCCAGTACAAATGTTTTACTAGAAAATGTTATCATGAATAGCCCTAAATGTAAAGATATGAAAGTGTGATGAAAAACAAAAGCTAGGCAGCCAAATACAGAAAACATGCTCAGTTTTGATTTCTCGTCACTCTCCTGTTTCTGGTGATATGTTTTTTTTTTTTTTAATTATATGAAACTTCCTTAGAGAGACAAATATGGGCTTCTTCAAAGCCGAGTCCTCTGATTGGCAGGGAGCTCATCCTGGTCGAGTCCCCACAGGTAGGTGCGGAGACGTGTAACTTCCTTTTGGAGCTCAGGACTTGGGATTGGCTGGGAGAGGTCAAGGCGTGGAGTCTCATTTGGCAGGATAAGAGGAGGGTGGTCCAGAAAACTCTCAAAGATGTCTAAAAGATTGGAAATAAAAGCATTGAAAATAATGGACTTGTCATTTAATTGAGAATCATAATGTTTGTATTTTAACATGCGTTGATTACCTCCACTCAGCTCCGTGCCAGGTGGAGGAGCCCAGGATGCGGGCGGAGCTCTTGTTGGCCCTAACTTGTAATGTGTTAGCAGGTGGTGCAGCTGAGCAGGACTTAACAGTCCATGTTCTTCCTGTAGACTGACCCATGATGACTGGAAGAGTTAAAGAGTCTGTGTTGAAAGTGTGGTCACAAATACTGGATGTTGCACAAGTAATGTCTTAAGCAATTATCTTTTCCTGTAATGCCACTAGCTAAAGAAAGATAGGCCCTGGCTTTAGAAGTTATAGAAAAACTGGACGTATTGAGGCCCTTGTACGCCAACTCAATGCAAATAACTCAGTGCTGGGTCTACTCACGTTACTAGTATCTGGGCAGACAAAGTAACATTTCAGAGCACAATAAAGATGAATTAGATGGCAAAAATGTTGATAATAAATGAGAAAACATTGTATATGACATGTTAGCCATTTGCTTTCTGTCAACACTGGCTCCTTTCTAGTGTGCCCGATAGAAGAAACACTGATTCAACATATTGTATCAGCTGTAAAAAAGATGACAATGGTGTTCGCACAGCAAGTACTCAAAAGAAAGATGTTCACAGAAGGTGCAGGGACGCCTTCGTGTGAATGGTTTGGTAGTTAGAGTCTCTAATGTCAGATGAAAAAAAGAAATGTGTATTTTATAATATGTCGAGCAGAACTTGTTGATCTTGAGAAAAAAGGTGGAAGATCTCTGCTGTGCTTCTTCCCCTAGAGAATCTCTCCCTCTTTGCAAAGGAGACTGTAATTTACACACAGGCTGATAACCAACTGTATAAGTGGATCTACAGGAATGCAGATCCTTGTAAACCAAGTTCTGAACATTATTTTTTATCTAAGTTATTAAGAGCTGCCTGAAAGCAGACAAAACTCGTTAAAATTCTGTCAAAATAGCAGAGAAACATTCTGCCCATGAAGGCAGGTTACCTGGATGAGTCGTGTTTTAGGAATACACAGGAAGTTGACCGTGATGGACAGTTTTTTCAAAAATTCAGAAGCTATGTCTCCTAATCCTGCCCCTTGTAGCCAATCCAGAACCAGGTCCAAGTTTGTACGAATCTGGACTGCTCGTGACCATGAAAATAGTCCATCTGTAGAAAAAGTGAATGGGCGTTGATGTAACTAGATGATATAAGACAACATTTTACAACCTCAGATAGTGAATCTCTTTTTTTTTCAATATTGCTTTGTGATTGCATCGACTGATTCCGTGGTATTGATATTATATGCCATTGTAGCACTTATAATCAGCTTTCGATCTAGACAGGATTGTTGTGCCCCACTCACCTCTCTCAAGTAAAGTGTTGAGCAAGGAGGTGTTGGTAAAGAAAAAGAGGTAGCCAAAAGTTTGAGAAGTGAGAGGTGGAGACAGACATGCTTCTCGAGACAGCATCAGAGAGCAGCGGTACACTTCCACCAGTCCAGCAACCTTGGGAGGCAAAGTGGACACGTCATCAATCTCTCCTCCTCTTTTGTCTGAACCCTCCGCATCCCGAGCTCCATCCTTTTCTTTCTCCTTCTCTTCACTGGAGAAGGGGTTGGTGTCCAGGAGAGCCGGAAGAAGGGAGTACAGGGTCTGTATTGAGAGGAATATCAGAAAAGGTTTGTCATAACTTGACCTGACCTACTTTGTGTGTCAAACTAGGCTGCTTTTTAACAAGTTTAAAACTGCAAAAGTCACACACACACACACACACACACACATATATATATATATATATATATATGCATATGTATATGTGTGTGTGAAATTCTAAAATAACTCTCAAGACACAAACACTCTGAAAATACTTCAGCTTTTGAGATTTGTGCACCAGATGGTTCTGATAATCAAAGTCAAATGATCAGAAACTAAAGAAATTCCTCAGCATTACAATCCCTTTACAGACAGGTGAAATTAGAGATACTCTCAATAAAGGCAGATGGAAGTGTAGCAAATGCACAGACCGCTGAACGTAACATTTCCAGGCATAAAGTCTCTTGAAAATAAACTTCTCCACTTCCTATAGATTACTGGCAACGCACCCTTTAAACACAGCAGCTGAAGAAGAGAACCACTAAATTCAAAACGGATTTTGATGCCGGACAGTGTTCTGTTCCTTGCATAACTCTTTTACTCAATTACTCAGAATCCTGAAACAAATGCCTAACATATGACTAAAACCAGACCTGGCCTCCCTCTACAGTGTCTCTGATCAAAAAGACAAGCCACGATTCTCGTGATTTTACAATTATTCATTTGTCTGATGAGCAAGTGACTGATAACACTTTTTTGGTATTTAACTTGATCATTAAACTGCACTCAAACTTCAGTGCCTTCACATTCAGGCTTGAGGTTCATCAACATTTGAACGATGGGATGTCTTTCTTGGTTAAAAAAAAAGGCAAATAAACCCAAATGAGTATAATTCGCATTAATATTTGGCACAAAGAGTAGAGATGATTAACTGTAAGTGTTATTGGGAGAGTTTAGAAGTGTATTATGTCTGGTTAAAACCATGGTACTGCAACACTTTTGCAAATACAAATATTCTTTTTGCTTGTTTTCTTTTTTTCCTTTTTTACCTTGGTGAGGTGATACACACATTGCTGAAAGGTGTGCATAATGACGTCATCCAGTTGTGCCAAAGCTTCTGAACAGGTGTCCATGTCAGCTGTCAAAACTGGATCCCCAGGAGCTTCCAACAAACAATCAGTGGGAACAATTAGACATAAAGAAGTATTTTTTAATGTACTCTCAATATTCTTGAGCCAGTCATTTCTGCTGTTTTCATATTTGTCTCACTTTCAAATTCCCACTCTTTCTCCATGTTTTCCACTTTGACCTGGAAGTAGTTGAGGAGCTCTGTGGCGTTTGACATCCAGAACATGAGGGGTCGCAGGTCGGATGACAGCTTCTGGACATTTGGCGTGCTTATTTCCCCTTCTTGCTCTGTCGAACTGCACACATTAGGCAATCCCTGAGTTATGTTATTGTGAACATTCTCCTGTCAGTGTTTTGTTTGTGCTTTAACGGAGAACCACGCCACACCGTGACAAAAAATAGACAGGGCTATTTTTACACGGCTGTATTTTTCAACATCACTGTATTACAATGCTTTCATCATACCACAAAAATTTCCCAAAGACATAACAGCTCAAGCACCAGTGTATCATGAATCACTCAGCGGGAGAGCTCCAAACAGGGGAAACATTATGTTGGACAAAAATGTTCTTACTTTTGCGTGGGATGCTTATCCCCGAATTCCTTAATGTTATCCTGTGAAGACAGTTGAAGACAGAAAAGAGGAGAAACATCTTGGGGGGGGGGGGGGGGGGGGGGGGGGGGGGGGGGGGGGTGCAGCGTCTAGCCCTGCAGCCAGGACAATTACAGCACATTTTCCAGCAGGAGGGAAGTGACTTCAGCTCATCCTCACTCCTGTTCACAGCCCAGAAGGCCACAACGAAGGCCATACGTCTGTCTGATGGTTTTTTCTGTCTGACTGAATGTGGTAATCTCCCTCTGCCTTCCTGATGTTTTCCTGTTAAGTGTTTTTGACCGTGTCATAGAATACCCTCCAAAAGAAGCTTGTTTGCCCTGAAGCAGAACCCCGGAACCACTCAGAGAAGATGGAAATGTACTTAAAACACATAATCCTGTGTCAGATCGTCAGCTGTTGAATTTCTGTCAGCACCAGCAGCACTGCTGGTCCATCACTTTGGTTCAAACTGTCCCAGTTTCAGTTGGTTGGATTTTTTTCCTTGAAACGTGGCCTGAATAATTAACATTCTGGACTGAAGTGCTCCTCTGATATTTTCCCTTAGCACCACAAAAAGGTCAAACTTTTATTTCAAGATTTAAAATGCTAAATAAGGATCTGTGAAGTGAAAATGACACCTTTACATGATATGGTCAGAGCTCGCATTGATGAAGTTTAAAAGCAGATTTTGATGCAGGCTTCATATGTTTGTTTTGTTTTGATTCAATTAGATGATTTCCTTTTTCTTACCCAGACAATTTCTTTAATTAAATTGGCTGACTTGAGTAATATCTGCGGAGTGAGGGCCGGGTCCAGGTGTTTGGAGGCGTGATCTATCATGATTGACAGGAGATAGGCAGGAGCTAAGGGCCCACCACCAGAGTCTGGAGAGGGGTTTTTGGAGATTATCTCCTGAGAAAAAGGTAAGAACAACATATATTGCCATAATGGAGTTCAGTAACTGGATTCAAAATTGGTGCCAATTGCCATTTGTTGTTTGCCTGTCTTACCTGCAACAAGGCATCTGCATGACGAGGATGGAACTTCAAGACTGCCTCAGTCGAGCCCAGGTACTGCCGGAGAGCCTCCTGTCTGTCCACCAGCCCTGATGGGCAGCAGGTGGAGGAGGCATCTGCCTGCCATGGAAGAGTCAACGCGAGTGGTGGCGCTGGAGTCACACGCGGGTCCCGGTACAAGAAAAGGAAGTGGTCTCCGAGCCCGATCACATCTCCGGGTTTTAGGACTGTCTCCCGGTACACGGCCACCCCATTGTGAGTGACTGCACCTCCTCTGAAGGGCCGCATCAGAGCTGGGACAAGACAGACAGGAAGTCATTCAACCCTGCCTCCAGGGCTGTGTTTTGAAGCCATCTTGTTGGATTCAAACCTGCGTATCTCTGTACCTTGTCCGGTGGGCACCTCTGGAACAGCAGCATCTCTCCGGAGCAGTAAGTGCCTGGCCAATAGGTCGGGGGCCGACAGGAACGTGTCCACCTTCAGTGGCCTCCTTCCTTTCCTTTCTCTTTCTCTATCCTTTTCTCTCTCCCTTATCGTCGGTTTTCTCCCAAACACATGCGTATGACCCGCCATGATGTATAACACAAAATCCTACACAAAACACACAGTGGAGAATCAGGGAGGTCTGTTATCTCTTAGGTGTGATGGTTTATTTCAACCCCCCATCAGATGGTAAGCTGAACAGAAGACAGTTGATAAGGAGTGAAGTGTGTCACAGTTTGCTACAAAAGAGACCTGTGTGAGGTCATTGTGTGAGATGAGGTGATGTGCACACAGGGGTTTTGTACTGCATGGGCAAATTGTCGAGGCATTGTGTTGCTTTGAGTCTGTGCTTGTAGCAGGATGGAGATCCTGATGGTATGTTGCGATTGCAGACATGCAGGTATGATGTCATGTGTTGGGTGTGTACAGTCGTGCTCCTCTGCACAGGGCCCCTGCACCTCATTTACATAGGTGCACATCAGAGCAAGTGTTAATGTGAATGTTAGTGTGTGTTCATGTGTTTACATAATCTATGTGTGTGTGCGTGTGTGTGTGGGCGGTGTTTGTGAGAGTTTGTTTTTGTGATGTAATCGGTAAGCGTGTCTTGCCTTGCTCTGATCGTAACCCTGTAGCAACAAGAAGTAGGGCCGGTCCGTGGGTGGAAGGATGAGGCTTTGGGACATCACTTCGAGGTCGCAGCTGGAGTAATCCCTCATATCCTCCTCAGGCTGATTTGTCCATCCAACCTTTGCCTCAGCCTTTGATGATCTGACCTGATGGAAAAAAGTAAAGTAAAAGGCGTTTAGCTTTGGCCTTTTGATAATAAAGCATAAAAAAACACTTTGACGATACAGGAAGATGGAAAACACAAATCCAAAAGGAGAACATGCATCGTAAAGTTTATACTAATTTTCAAACATTGATTCTTTAACATTGTTTTTTGTTGTTTTTTGTGAATGGTGTGTGACAAGATTGTTCAGTTGACATTTGGGACTTTTCACAAGTTTTTGTCTTTTGTTGTTTTTGCAAAACATGTCTTTTGGCAGTTGTCTGTTGTTTTGCTTCCTGAAAGGATATTTTTTCTATTGTGTTTCCTGTTTTTCAGCTCTGTTTTCTGTTTAGCTGTTGGGTTGTCTGACATGACATCTTTTGTAGATAAATGTATATCAGATTTTCCTCCTTCGCGTTGTTGTATTATCTATAGTGTATCTTCAGCCACTGATTCATAAAGTATCATTGACTCTTGACAGTACCACACTTGTTACCTCTCCTGGCTGTGGGCTGATCATGCTCACAATGTTCTTCCTGTCTTGCATCCCACTGCTGTCGAGGGGTCGGCTGGCAGGACCACGGGGATCGTTGCTGACGTGGTTGCCCTGACGACGCCGCAGACTCAGGTTCATGTCGCTGATGCTCCTCCGGAGCTCGGTGTTCCTTCCACGGTGACCACGCTCGCTCTCCTCCGCTGCTCCCCCTGACTCTATCCTCCGCCGCCGCCACCGCACACCTGTTGCCCAGAAAGCCACAGCAGGCATACGTTTCATGAGTCAGACCTTCATTACAAGCTCCCATACCTGCCTGCTAAGTCTCACACAAACCTTGGTAACTCTCCCCCTCCCTCTCACGCTCTTTCTCCCTTTCTTTCTCCTCTCTCTCATAGTCCTCCCTCCTCTGGATTTCAAAGCGCCGCTCAAATCCATCCTTAGGCCGCCACATGTCCACTAATAACAAAGGACATTCCCACGGGGCAACGCTTCTCCGGCACTCTGTCTCCCATTTGATAGCTCCATCTGGCTGCTGGATGGGTTTTCCAATGACATCACACAACAGGAAGTCTTCAGGAGAGTGTTTCTGGATAGCTAAAGAGTAATAGAGAGAGGGGAGACAAGAATGAGAAGTGAAAGTTTATACTCTTGGAACTCATCTTATCAAAATTCTGTAAGTCAGTGATGGATGCAGTGGGAATAGGAGAAAATGTCCCTTTCTCATACCAGCATCATCTGTCTCCTCCCTCTCTCTTTCGGTGTAGCGAGTGATGACCTGTGCAATGAGCTGCCTGGCAGTGGAGTGAATGTTGGCCAGCAAGGAGCGATAGTTGGCTCCACTGGACAGAGCATCTCCATAGATCTTGATCAGTCCTGGGGCAGTGGAAGAGGCAGGGGGCAAGTAGTGGTGGGAGGAGGGGGCAGCCGAATGAGCCCAAACCTCTCTTTCCCTCTCCCCCACTGCCCGGTCCCGGTCGCTGTTGGAGCGCCCCCGCAGGAAGAGATGGGAAAGGCGCTTTGCACGAGACTGGGGGCCAGCAGGCCGCGGCCTGAGGAAGGCCGGGGAAGGAGAGGATGATGGGGAAGGGGAAGCCAGCGAGGGGGTGGAGTTAGAAAGAGAGGAAGAAGGAGCAGAAGGGGCCTCGTGCAGTGAGGTTGCGTCAGAGCTGGTGGTCGACCTGGGAATCACACAGGGGGTGGAGGGGGGGACAGATGGAGCATAGAGGAAGCAGAGAGGAAGGGACAAGTCAGCTGTGAATTATGACTGATAAACAGCAAGGACTAAATTAAAACAGAGGAAACTTACTGGGTTAAAAACAACTAATGACAACGGATGTAAGATAAGATGACACAACACACAGAGGCTCGTCAGGAACTTAATTCTATCCTGATGACCTATAAGTAAACAATGCGGAGAAAGAGAAGACGAAGGAAACGTGATAAAAACTTTGGACTGACTTTACAGATATGGCGCTGGGCCAACGACCTCCAAGTTTGGCAAAGTGTTTCCTGGGAGAGTTAATCCACAAACCCACTGGGAAATGAAGCTTTCTGAAGCGTGGACTGCCAGACCCCTCCATCTGAGTAAAAGAATGAGGATTTGAATCAAAGAATTAAATATTTCAGGAGTCTACCATATTTCAGGATGCCTGAAAGTTCTGTGTTTTTGTTAATCTGCATCCCAGCCTGAATATGTGTCATTAATGCCAGGACTGAAACAATACAACAATAGGATGATGTCACAATCAAAAAATATCAACAGGATACCTACAGCAGGTTGTCAACATGATGAAAACAAACAAGAGAAATTACCCCCCCCCCCCAACCCAAAAAGAAAGCCCCTAAATGTGTATTTCCCACTCTAAAACAGGAAGCATGTTTTGCAGGACTCAGGTCCAGCTGTCGCAGTGTCAGGGAAAATCCCACTTCAAAGGTCACAGTCTGTCCATTCCTCGCTTCTCAGAAATACTGTATATGTAAAAACCCTGATACCTTCTTTTATTTTCATTTAGAATTTTTTAAAGTTAAAGTTAAAGGAATTTCAAAGCATTCATTTCAGACAAGTCACATGAATTCGCTCCCAAAATCAATCCCCTTCATCCTAGGCAGCAAAGATGGCCGGTTCTAAGGAGCCCCCTCATACACAGAAGTATTTAGACCACTCAAACAGAAAAAAGACCAACAAAGTTTTTGAAATGGATACATAATAAAGACTTACCCACATTTGCTTTTGATCGATGTTTATTGGTTTGTAATTGTCCACCTAAATGTAAATGCGCAGCTCAAAGTAACCTGATGACTGTGTGCAAATCCTTCTTCTCGTAATGAAAATCCATTTTTGGAAGGCCTCAAGTCATCATATTTGTACAAAAGCAGCTCTAATTGAAATCATCCATAAGTTTTGTCTTCTTTGTCTAAAGAATTTACTGTCTTTAGTTGCTGTGGAAAAGACCCACTGCCTCCCTCTTGCTGGCTCTCAGTTGCTCTGGGTCTATAGATAGAGTAACGGGCCCATTGTTCCAAGTGACAGAATTTCCTTCCTTTGCTTTGGACAACACCTATATCCTGGCTGAGAGAGAAAGAGAGGGAGAGATTGGTAGAAAGTAAGTAAAGGGGTGAATGTGCACAAATGTATGAGTGCTTTTTTTGCCTTTTTAGGCACACCACACAACAATCCAGATGTTTTTCTCTTGGTCTGTTTGGATCAATTATAGCCTAGTTATCACTTTTTCCGTGAAGTTAAATTGTACAAAGAAGACTAAAAACATAAAGGGATCCTGAAGTTTGTTGGTCTGTTTTGTCAAATCTGAAGAGGAAATGTCACAGTGTATTATAAAATGTCCTGAGAAGGACCAAAAGTGAATACTTGCTGGAGTGTGTGAGGGAAAACACACGGTGAGACAGGAAGCTCGATGTAGACACCTGTGATCTTTGACCCAGTCCTAAACAGGAAGATTATTGATGGGGAAGAGACAGGACACTTTCCCCTCTATCCTCCCTGGTCTACATATACAACAAACTCATTTTAGCTGACTAAAAATGCTTTTCACCTGACATCAATATCCAACAATGAAAATAGGAAGCGAGAAAACTGTTCAAAAACATTTCAAGGAAAAGCCATGATGACTTTTAAAACCATGGTAAAACCTATCGTGACCTTTTAAACACTAACGTCTTTCTGGTAACTACAAGCCTCAGTAAGCCTCATTCAAAGGGCCCATCAAACAAAGTTCATCCTCAATCCATAAAGGGCTCCAACATAATCAATTATTTAACTTTGTTTGAACTAAACTGGACTTAGGTTTGAACTCAAGTCCAGGATTTGCAATTAATCTGTTTTCATGAATTATATATTTGCAGACCACTTTCAAAGACTTAAGGAGACAGACATACATCAGGTGGAACAAAATAATGTACTCATGGCAAAAAGGAAACATTTATAAAAGTCTGAATAGAATCAATCTTGAGTTTTCTGTCAGCAGACATTAGTGCCATTAAACAGTAACATGCCTTTTAGTTGGAATCACTCCTTTTTATCCCATTACACAATAAATACGTCCATCTGTACAGCTAATATCCATCACAATTAAGTCCCAAAGCGGCCTTTTAAATTCCACCTGTTGTCTGTGAGCTAGTCTGACATTAATTAAATGCTACACCTTTATCAATAAGGTTTTCTTGGCTTCGGATGGATGATTTTAGATGTAAATGAAACTGTGTGAAAGTCTGTCGGATTAAAAACTGAAAGCTTTGTTTATCATAAGGGCGTTATTGATGATGCCATGTCATTGAATAACAGAAACAAGACAGCTTTATACGAATAATTACGTTTAAAAGAGAAGAAGATAACGTACGAGGTGAACAAAACTAAATAAAGACTGTTACACTGAACACTGAAAACTGGTTGTGGTTGACCCAGATTGGTAGCCGACCTTGGGTGTGACGTCACCGTATTATTTCCCAGCATCCTTTTCACCTAGCAGAAAGGCGACATTCGCTCTAACTCAGAGGACATCACGAACAGCTCTCCAAGGTTAGCTGTCGGTAACTGCAATATGTATTTGTGTTTTGTTATATTGTGTAGATGGTTCGGTACGGTGGCTTTTCTGCTTCAAACTACAAAACCTCAATAATTGTTAGTGTTTTTTGGACCGTACGTTTTCAGAACCAGATAGAAACCAACTCAATATCATTGAGCTAACAGCTAACGTTTTAGTCAGGCTGAGCTAACTATGCTAACACTTTTTTTACTTACGTGTTCGTCGTACAGATCTGAGAGTTGTTTGTGACACAAGCGTCAAACGTATACGACATCAATCTGTAAAGATTTACCTAAACGTGGTCTTCTAAGAAACCTTTGTGACTACCACAAAGGTTAAACTAAGTGTTAGCTTAGCCAACCAAGTTCGACTAAAATAACGGGAGTTTTTATGTTCTTTTAAAGAGCATACTTGGATGCATCTTGTAAAACATGTTGGGTAGTTTATAGTTTATAGTTGTTTTCTTTTATAAATTACCTATTAATAACTGTAACTACCAAAGTCTATTGACATATAGTGATATCTAAGATTCAGAATATTTGTTTTCAAATAGTCACCATTCTTCCCATATACTCTTCTAAAATGCATTGATGACTATAAATGTTGATTTTCACACACTTGTTTTGGCTCTAAGTGACTGAGGGGTATGTCATTTCATTGTTGACTTCTTCACAGGTCTGACTTGAAGCCCACAGACATGGCTGAAACAATCGACGAGAAGATCAAAAACTACAGAACAGCTCCCTTTGATTCCCGATTCCCCAACACAAACCAGACCCGCAACTGTTTCCAGAACTACCTGGGTGAGAATCAGGATCACTGAATCTAGAGAACATATTAAAGGATGGACTCATCTGTTATACTACGAAAAACTGGCTGAATGGATTATGCTTTAAAGCATTTGTCTCCACTCATTTTGACAAGTGTGACACTCGCAGAGTTTGTAGCTTATGTTTAAAACCTAAAGCATTTGTTTAATCTCGTTCAAAACATTATGATTTAAGTACAACATTCTTTAAAGATCTTGGAACATTCATAGATACATTGTTGTGGAAGTGAATGACTGCTTGTTCTAACTAACTGTGAATTTGAAATATTGGACAATGTTAATAGTGAAGCACGGTGTGTAAAGCACTATTTACCGCATGCTTTAACAACCCCTAATAAAACACTTTGAATTATTCTGGTACTGAGTGACTTCAAAATGCTAAATTCCTTGCCAAGTGTCAAAGATCTAATCTTTATTCCTTTTATTTCTTTTGTCAGACTACCACAGGTGCAACAAGGCCCTGACTTCCAAAGGCCAGGATGCATCTCCCTGTGACTGGTACCAGAGGGTTTACAAGAGCCTCTGCCCCAATAGCTGGGTATGTGCAAGATTCTAGTTTTAATACCAGGTTTCATTTGTTTTGCCTCATGTCTTCCCTAGAATGTTTTTTTTTTTTTTTAAACGGTGATATCAGATTTCTTGTTTAGTTTGTTGCTGAAACTTTTTAGTTTTACACAATCTATGTAGATAAGATTTTCATTCAATTCTATTTAGTGTGAGGTAAATCAACTGATACATTCTGATCAATGAGTAAACTGCCAATGTAATTCGTGTCTGCATTTTTTTTGCATCGCTCTAACCTTGTGTTTACTGTCTCCTGCAGGTGGGTAAATGGGACGAGCAGATAGAAAATGGAAGTTTCCCCGGAAAAATTTGAAATGTCCCCACATTACCAGTCAGGTTGCTGTTACCTGCACCTTTACCTCTGCACTGTGCCTGAGAACATCTCCAAAACAGCTCTATTTGTCATTACCATGATTACTGTTACTTAAACTATAAACACGCACAACTCACACAGTGATGACGTCTAAAGTTTTTTTTCTGTCTCTATTATAAACCTCCATTGGATATTGTTGACTTAATAAATACACTGCAGATTGAACTAAGACCGTGTTTATTATCAAGTTTAAGTCTTTTTCTTTTTTTTGGTAAGGCTTTTCACTGTACAGCAGACAGTTCACCTCTTAAATAAATTGTTCGACCCCATAAACCTGATCAGCTTCTCCTGAGGCCACTGTAAGAGTTACCGTCTCTTATTTTGGCTGAAACTCTATTTTAATTAGTACAACACAGCACTATGACTTAAGGTTACTGGGCAACTGGCAGTTCAGTTATGGTTTTATGCTGTGTTTAAACACACGATACGAAAAGATTGCGGTAAACCTATTCTATTAAACATATTCATTGGATCTTTAAAGTGTTGTTGACTGATTTTTTTTTTCTTTTCCCTCTCAGTTTTATTGTTTTTTTAACAACTTTTAATTGCTTTAACACTTATGTTAGCACTGTCGAATATTTTAAAAGTCTTGAATTAAACTTAACCTGTGTTTACCCTGGATGAACAGGCATGCATTTAAACCAAAATATTCGATCGACCGACTGGTTTAAGTCAGGGGAGCCACTGACTGGCTGGATGTAGTGTGACCTTATGGCCACACAGAGGCGCCACTGGATAAATGAAAAAAAAGGATAAATGGTGATAGAAAAAAGAAAGAACAACTGATGTGCTACTGAGATTGGGAACAAGGCTGGGGACAAAGATCAAAGTAGGATTTTATTTACAATGTGTAAGACCATAAAAATGGAATCTTGCATATTTTAGCCCACAGGAAGAGACAAAAACTGATCGTTTATAGACTTTCAAGCAGCGGTTGAGATCAATCGAGAAAATCAAGTTGGGTGTTATTTTTCTATTTTTTGACCTGAAGCGGTAGCAAAAATGTTTAAAAATGTAACATTCAGCTGTCATGTAACAGATGTGTGTATGCAGGGTTACGAATATTACGATAACTTTATGAAGTTATATATCTTTACAAGTGTATTAACAGCATCAAAGGAAAGGATGAACGCCTTCTTTTAAGACAGCTTCCTGACAGCAAAGCACAACAAATTTTGACAAAAGAATATATTTAATATCTATTTCGAACAAATCAGAGAAAAACATCAAAAGATGACAAAACAAAAGTGTTTTATATGTTGCTCAAGCTGCAGACAGAACGGCTTCACTTCATCACGGTGGAAAGTTAAAGGTAAAATGTACATTCTGAAAAGTGAACAGGATTTCCAGGATGTTGTTTTGGGTTGTCCTTTAAATATAAAATTAAGTAATTTTCTAAAATAAACATCCTGCCTATCTATCTATCTGTCTATCTATCTATCTATCTATCTATCATCTATCTATGTATTTATCTATCTAGCTGTCTATATTGCCTTTGATACCTCTCTAACATGGTTTTGTGAAATAAAGAAACTTGATCAGACTGAGTTTAGTCAGGACAAATGCTGGGCAGTCTGGATGAATGGTAGATTACACCCACAAGGTGGCACTATTGTACAGTGAGCTAAGAAAAACTATTTTTTTCTGATGGCCACGTGGTTCAACAGTGTCAAAATCGAAGGATTTCCAAAAATCATCAAGCTTAGAAATGATGAAACCTCTCTCCTACCCTCAGGTCTCCAGTAAGAATGCTCCCTGATAAGTTTCGATTCTCAGTATAATATACTTTAAAAATGGACCTTACAGTATGTCTAAAGTGGGGGTTCACTGAATGAAACTAATCCATATAAATGGACTGTTCCAAGATACATTTTAAGCAATAATAAGAGCATTTCTTTACAGTTTGACAGGCTCCCAGTGAGACTTTAAATTCAACACAGCAAGAGCTCCTTTTCTTTTTCCTTTTAGTCTGTGTGAGCTTTCATGCCACAGAGTTTTGAAGCAGTTGTCGTTGAGAAATATTCCGGTCAGCAATTAAAGGGCATGTGGACAGTTTTACCACATCTTTTTCACGGAGCTTGAATAAAAAACTGCCAGCAGAGCACGCACACGGGCAAGAGAGAACAAAACAACTATTCAAGTCCTCATTTATTGCATTTTTCTGCTTTACTTTCAGGTGAGATTAGAAGTAATCCGAGAAGCAGGGCCTTAAATCAGCAGGAAATGAACAGAAGTAACGACGTCCCAAATGACGTGAAACACAATGTTGACATATTCGACTGCTTCCTCTGGCCTCTCTCTCTTCCTGTTAACCAATCATGTTTTCTCTAAACAGATCAGTGGGAAATATTGTCGCATTTTATGATATTGCAACCAACAGAGGCCAGTTGAGATGCCGGGGTAAGGGCATTTAAATATGGGGAATGAGTGGCATTTTTTCAAACAGCTGAAGCACTGAAGGTACGAAACCTGAACATCAGCACTTTGTGGTTGTTACTTCTGTTTAGAATGTACAGGAGTGGACTACTGGACAACTGGTTCAGCTATTGGTCCCAAAAAGTCACAAATACACTTTGTGTACAAAGTTTTGAAGTATCAAAGTGTTATGAGTTATCGCACAACACCCTCCAAACAGGTGGGAAGAGAAGGCTATTTGAGCAGATTGGCCATTTTGGAAGGAATGACACAAAGAAACTTGAGCAAAGCAGAGGGTTCTGTAGCAATGTTCAGTAAGAGGAACACAGAACGTTATTTTTATATTCACGCTCCAAACTATTTTTTCAAAGGTCCTGAATTAAGTAATTTTAAACACCATGAGATTTGAAGGTGGTTCAAGCCAAGAAAAATCCACTGAATTATAATATAGTCATAATCCAATCAAATAAGAAAAATTTAATCCAAGTTCATCAAGTTCATACAGAGCCAATTTTTTAAATAAGCTGCCTAGACAAAGGAAAACAAGCACTGGCACAAAGATTTCTCTCAAACTCTCATCCTAGTGGAGTGCTATTAGAAAGAATATACTCCTTTTTAACTAAATGAAAACGCTAGCAGATCCAAACATTTGAGGCTGGGCCATCCACCTTGACCTGCTGGATATGGGAGGCACAGAAAGAAAGATCAAATGATGACTGATTAAAAGTTAGCCAAAGTCAGCTAAAGCTGGGGAGGTCAAACCATTTTGGAACAAATGAGGAAAAGTAAAGCACAAGGGAGAAACTCTGATAAACCTCTATCCCCTTTGAACTTTTCTCTGAAGCAGAGCAAAGTGAAAGAACCAACATCAGTACCAGAAGTACCAAGAGCAGATCGTACCACCTACCTCTGATGCTGCTGACAAAGCTAAAATATAACAAAATATTGTTGTACAGATGTGCAAAAATTAAAAGAACACGTTCATTTGCACACTTGGTACCTCGTACACAGTGTATTACGCAGTTGATTTCTCAAGGCAACATGTTGCATCATATATAAGACTGCGTACCTACATTAAATTCTGAGGTCTGACAAACATTCCCCAGATATTTCGATTCAGAAAAAAAAAACAAAGAAATAATTGAGGTGAAAATGAATTAATGATGAAAAAAAATCTTCTCAGAACTACTAAGTGGATTTTTCTAGGAAAACTTCTAAATTCCTGAATGAGATTTAGGTGGCTGTGAAGATTAGAATAGACGGAGAATTACCGGGGCACCCCGTTTGTTTACCACCCACCGAGCCGGTCTCATGATTCGTGCATGACCAGGCTTTGTATCTGACCCCTGGGCGCACGGGCTTTTGTTATACCCCCCCACCAGTGGGCGAAGGGCCACCGGCATTTGCACAGAAGCTTCTTTTCTTTCTTTATTCAAGCATCACCGCTCGGCACGTTCGCCCGTGCACGTCCCCATCAGTGTGTGCGCGCGGCGGAAGCGCGTCTGCGCAGAGATGACTCCACACTAAAAACACCGACGTGAGTCCCACTCGGAAATATTACGCACTGATAATGAGTAAGACCGTCAACGTGCTGCTGAGCGTGTACAAGTCTATATAAAAAAAACCCACAACAACAACCAGATAGGAATGCGGACTTAACTTATCAGAAGAAACAGAGCCGGACAAAACTATTTCTTTGGATAAGGCTGAAACACATCCCACATCACGGTAAAGAAACTCTTTTAACTCATTATCAAATGATCACTTGATCTTTAATAAAACGACAAAATGTTCAAATGCAATGTTCAAAGGACTTATATCTAATCTAGAATGTTGAAGTGGAGTTTTTAAAATGATAGCAGCCCACTATGTCCAATTAGGGAAGAAAGGCAAGTCGTTCTCAGTAAAGCATCACCTGCAGCTCTGTTGCATTTTTGGCCAGCTGGTCATTTTCTCTGCTGCCCACTGACCTAGGATTTGTCTTATTATTATTAACCGAACCAAATCTATTTCAAAGGACTGAAAAAGCCACTTTTCTACTTTTCTTTATTTTGGGGCGAAAAAGAGGAGGGTAAACACGGAAGAGAAGGGAGGTTTTTTTTATTGCATTTGTGGGCTTGGCTTTGACTCAGTGATGTAAGTTTCCGCGCTGAGAAGAACCTTTTAGTCTTTGCCACAGAGAGCTCCAAAACATCTATTAGGTTAGTCCACTCTAGCACTTTGTAAATAAATATTATGCATGGAAATAGCTGTCCTCATGCCAGGGGAAATATGATATCTAGGATATCTTTTGCTTTTTAAAAGTGCATTGAAAATAGTTTTTCTCTCTTTTTTTTTTAGATATTCCTGCTGCTGCTGTTTGCAGAGTGGGTTCTTTAGACTTTGCAGACAAGTCTGACAAACTTCAGTTCGACTTCATCTAGGCAACAACGATCAAGATGCAACAATTGGAGGACGACAAGGTAAATGCAGAAGTTCCATACTAAAGATTCTACCGATCAGTTTGATATTATTGTTGTTTTTCTCCATTTTAATCCCATTCTCATTTTACAATAATAGGCTGTATTTTTCGAAGTAAGCGCTGTTCAATGAAGAGTTCAAACAACCCGTAAAACATATCTACAAAGTTTTGTATTTGGTATTTTTCCACTCTGGCATGGGCAGGAACTCAGGATGCGACTCAAGCACTTCAGGACATGACTAAGTGTACGACAGGGCCGTTGTGTGGCAAGTTTGAACTTGTGTGTGTTTTAGTTGACTTTTTTTATTGCGTGATTCACGGAGAGATGGTTCGGGGGAGAGCGATTGGGCAAAAAAGATGCCCACAGGAAGAATTACAGCAGCACAAATATGCAGATTATTGTAGTGATCACATGTAAAGCAAGGCGGTTTTCACAGGCATTCGTATTAGGCCACAAATGTGATGAAAATAACTGTCTGACTACTCTGCGTGACTATGTAGGTTTGCTGTGGTTCATCTTTTGTAAGAGTTCACTAGCAGTTGCCTCAGGTGCTTGGATGTTACTTAACATCGTCTCTGCCCATGGCACGTGGAAATAAATTTCAAGAAGACACGAATGTGGAAGTTGAGGGGAAACGCAATCTGATCCGGTGCCACTGTATACGTCTGAAAATAACTGATTGATTTTCTCGTAAGAAAGAGGCCACTAAAAAGGATTAAGCTTTGGATCAATGAGCTAAAGACCAACTGAGTATTCATGAACAGACAGGAACTTCTCAGTGCTCTTCTCCATATTCTTTGTATAGCTTGAAGTGTCTCTGTTAGTTCTAATATCATTAACGGGTCATTTACTGTGGTTTTGTAACATCATAACGTTATGAGGCATCATATTACACAGTATTCAGGTATGAACAAACACAGGGACCAGTGTGTTTATTTTACCGTTCAGTCACTCACATGGTTGAATGCACAGGGAAGATGTTGAGCAATATTAAGGGCTTGGTTGCCAATTGTACAATATCTAACTCATCCCATGTAAAAAATGACAGATGCAATACTGTGATTACATGTCTGTGCAGGCACATGTTTCACAACATGTTGATACAAGCCTCTGAGTCAGCTGTGGTATGGCTGCATTACACTATACGGGATACCATGCTTCTCACACATCTGCATACGCCCATTTTAAAGGTATAGACAGCATAAGATTCGTACACACTCAAAAATGCCTTCTCTGTAGTTTAAAATGCACAGCACACAACAATTTTGTCTTTTATGTGATCGTTATCTTCAAAATTGATAAGATGTTTCTATCCAGTCCCTTTTCTGCCCACATCTTTAATGTGCATTAGTGAAGCCAGAACATCCTGTTTCCCCTAAAGTGGACTTAATCATACCAGCAGCGTTGCCTGTGTGCCACTCAGACAAAATGTCCTTATTTCACAGCACTGACACGCTCCAAGATTCGTTTGGTTTTTAGTCCGTGATATTCTTCTGACACACATAGTGTAGCTTGATTATCAGTTGAACTGTTAAAGTATTTAGCATTATCAGTCCAGCGTCATCATGTGAAGTAATTCAAGACTTCCTCTCCGCGCGGTCTCATTCTGAGTAAGATAAGTTAACAGCTGTCAGCTGAAATCCTGCGTCTGTACCAGTGCTGTCAGAGGGGATCACCTACCTCAAAGACTTTCATTATTTTTCAAGACTGATGTACTCTTATCTGTGCAGATAATTGTATCAGGGTGATGTACTGTGTGGCAGAACAGAGCTCTCTGTGCTGCTCTGATATGGTTGGTTCTAAATTTGTCCTCTCTTTTACTCTAGCTTGAGTAGAAACTGTGCATACCAGTTCTTGTCTTGAGTAATATTGACGAGCTTTGTGTTACATGAACAGCAGTGGAAAATGTAGTGATTGAATTATATGTCCTTGTCTAGTAAGTCTCTGCATCAAAAAGGGACTCTGCACATTGCTTCGTAGTTCTTTGATATCTGTCATTTGATATTAAAGAAACATGGTTAACAATCGAGTCAAACTGAAAGTTGCATCTGGGATTTCCTTTTTTGCTGGGCTGCTTTCACTGAGCAGGTCCAGGGCCACAACTTCATTAAAATGGGTGTCAGTTCTGCTCACTGGAGAATTCACAATTTCACTCCCCTGCGAACCGATGATTGTGGGGGGGTATTAGCTTAATATTATGAGGCCATTTGAATTATCAAACCAGCAGGAGAAACATTCACAGTCTGTCTTATTTTGTCGGAGTGTCTTTAGCCACCGATCCGAGAAATACCCCTGAGCTGTAAGTCATGGCGTCTGTCTGTGCAGTGTGGTAACACCTGCTCTCAGAGCAGATCTGCCAGCCTGAAAACAAGGAGTGAGAGCTGTTGTAGAAAGGCTCATTGTGTGTTATTACCCGTGTGACTCTAAACAACCGGAGCCTTGTCCAGCCAGGAACAGACCACATCATTCAAACTGAGGGAGTGATTGTACATGAGGACCACCTACTTATTGCATTAATTTGTCATAACTCTGTGTCTTTTTTCTGTCAACAGCCCAAGAAGAAGATCACACCTTATCTCCTCTACTGCGTTGCAACCGCAGTCATTGGCTCTCTGCAGTTTGGCTACAACACGGGGGTCATCAATGCACCTGAGCAGGTGTGTGTGATGGAGCTACGGTGTGTTACACTAAAATGAAACGTGGACATTATGCGTTTCCATTTTTGGTAGCAGCAAAAACGTTAAATGATTGGAAACAGCTCCCACATCAATGATGGATTCTCTTATCTTAAATCAATAATGTAATCACTCTAATGGCATTCACTTATGCCGTCATACTGCAGCTCTGAATGTACAAACTCCAGTTACAGTCAGAGGGCAATGCCGGAGGCTCTAGTGCCCTCATGTGGAGGTGTTTAAATCTGCCCCAGACAAATTTCCAAGCTGATTATGTTTTTTTTTGTTCACCAGAAACTACGAGATTTTTTCCATAATGTGTCCTTGGATCGCTACGGGGAGCCTTTCAGCCCAGGAGCAAACACCATGGTGTGGAGCTTTGCTGTGGCCATTTTCAGCGTGGGAGGCATGGCCGGGTCCTTCTCCGTCGGCACCATGGTTAACACATTTGGCAGGTGAACTCCCGATGATTTAAGATTGTGGTTTATTTATCATTATGAAATATGGTGTGTGGGAAAGTCGGATAGTATGAAAATGATCAAACCCGTGTTTTTTTTGCTTGATCGAGGTGTCTTCACTCCCCGTGCTTTTACTGGGATAAGAGTTGCACTCTCACTAACTTTTGGTGTTTGTGTCTCACATCCCCAGGCGAAAGTCCATGGCGATCGCTAACGTCCTGGCTATCATAGGCGGTGGTCTGATGGGACTGTCGACTCTGAGCAAATCTTTTGAGATGGTCATTGTCGGCCGGTTGATCATCGGTGTGTTCTGCGGTCTGTGCACAGGCCTGACACCCATGTATGTGGGTGAGATCTCCCCCACTGCTGTCAGAGGAGCCTTCGGCACACTGCACCAGCTGGGTGTTGTTATTGGCATCCTGGTTGCACAGGTACAAGGATTCTTTTAATCTTCAATGGACCATACTTTACTCACCAAACATGCTCGTTTTTCCTGATTGTGATGGCTTGGAATGATCTGTTTAACTCCAGGCATTAAGTCTAGAAAACATGGATAAAGATCACATGAATTGCCTTTTAAGATAGCAAAAGCTATCTGAAGTCCATTTGAATCATATTGTGTCTCTGCTCTTAAAGAATGGGACAAAGTAATGGATCTGTTTCATATACCTCGTTCCTTGTTTTCAGATCTTCGGTCTGGAGTCTCTGCTGGGTTCAGATGATCTGTGGCCTTTGCTCCTTGCCCTCACTGTCCTGCCTGCTGTTGTGCAGACCATCATGCTACCCTTCTGCCCTGAAAGCCCTCGTTACCTCATCATTGTCCTCAACCAAGAGGAAGAGGCAAGAAAAGGTCTGTTATAGGTCAATGTACGCACTGGCAGCACATGATGGAAACATTAGAATTTTAACCCAACTGTATTTAGAGTTACTGCTCTATTTTTAATGATGGCCTTTGACTTTAAGTGGTACTGTGTCACATGGTGTTCCAAGATCCTCTGAGCCACTCTACATTATATTTACATGAATATCTACTCAACTTGTCTGTACTCATCCTCGCCGCCTCCTTCTTGTAGCACTAGTGCGTCTGCGTGGCACTGAAGATGTGAGCGATGATATTCAGGAGATGAAGGAGGAGGGCATGAAGATGGCCATGGAAAAGAAAGTGACTGTCCTTGAACTCTTCCGCTCGCCAAACTATCGTCAGCCGATCATTATTGCTATCATTCTGCAGCTTTCTCAGCAGCTGTCTGGCATTAACGCTGTGAGTAGTCCTCATATCTCATTAGTCTCAATGGATCAAGGGAGAAATCTTTAAACTCTGCAAGAAGCAGTCACTCAATTATTTCTGACAAGCACATGACGCGAGACGGCTCCAGGCAAAGTTAGATTGAGTGCAAAGCAAAGGGTATTTAGCAAAGCTTAAGATAATAAGGTCATGTAACCTGGCTGATGAAATTCATTAGCAGTTCTTGAGTCAGACTTGACAATCAAAGCAAAACAGTTGCAGCCTCCGGCCAGAGGATGCTACATCAGTTCATCTCACATGAGTATGTTTACCCTCATGACTAATGTCACCAGCAAGCAATGGAGTTCCAATTATTTCCCTCTGCGAATCTGCTACAAAAAACGTTATATATTCATATAAACCAAGTGACTTGGTGTAATAGAAAATTAATTCAGAGAATTAGAAAAAAATTTCATTAGCTACATTTCCTTTCTAGACCTAAGGTGCACTTAATTCCTCACTCTCACGGCCAACAAACCTTATTTTCAACACCAGGCAAAGGAAATGGCTGAATAGGCCCAGCTAGACAGCATAATGGAGCTTTAAGCCTTTACAGAAGGAATGATAATTAAAAACCAAAAAAGTAGAGTTGGCTGCTGGAATTAAAGCAGAGGTTGGTGAAACAGTTTTCTGTCGCTTTTATTAACGTGACCAAAGCATCGTCAGATTTTTGCATAGTTTTAGAGTGCCTACAAAGAAACAAATCTAAAAAATGGAAACTAAAATAACACTGGCCTGTTATTTGCTGTCTTCTATCATTACCTGAATAAAAGAAATGTTATTTTCCTCTTTCGTTTGCGGTTTATGTCATTATCAGGCAATTATGGACACTTTCCTCAAAAATTCACATCTATACTTAAATTTTGTGAATGTATCAGCAATTGTAATCCATAAAATGAGAGAATATGTTGGTTTTTCCATTTTGTGTTGTTCTTTGTTCTTCAATCATTCTGATTCTGCAATTTCGACTAAATCTGTTCACAAAAAAGCATCAAGTACATTTCATATTCGACTGCTGCAGAAAGATTACGATTCCAGAGCATTCACAGACTGTGTTTGACATTTTTCTATTTGTTTCTAAGTTATATATCTGAACAAAAGAACTAGTCTCTTCTGATTTTTTAACTCCTTTTTGTCTTTTAGTGTGTTGTTTTAGACTGACCTTTTTTTATCTGCAACACTAACGCACCTACTGCATCTACCGTTTCAGGTATTTTACTACTCCACGGGCATATTTAAAACAGCTGGTGTAACACAACCCATCTTTGCCACCATAGGAGCTGGAATCGTCAACACCGTGTTTACCATCGTCTCTGTAAGCGTCCGCCTGTCTGATGTTTGAATCCAGTGTCTTTTTTTGAATGTATTGATTATTAATAAAGGATTTCCCCCCTCTGGAAACCAGCTGTTCCTGGTTGAGCGGGCAGGACGAAGAACATTGCACCTGATTGGGTTGGCTGGAATGGCCATCTCTGCCCTCCTCATGACTATCTCCCTGTCTTTGGTGGTGAGCGGGCATTTCTGTAATTGTGAGCTTAACCGCTGCCGCATTTGATCTGTGTCTGAGTCTACTCATTCCCTCTCTGAGCAGAAGATGAACGAGTCCCTGAGTTATCTGGCGATTGTGGCTGTGTTCGGCTTTGTTGCCAGTTTTGAGATGGGACCCGGGCCCATCCCCTGGTTCATCGTGGCAGAGCTCTTTTCTCAGGGCCCTCGGCCTGCCGCCATGGCTGTTTCTGGTTGCTCCAACTGGACGGCCAACTTCCTGGTGGGACTGGGATTCCCTAAACTGGAGGTATTTCTTATATCCATAGTACTGTTATACTGATTTTATATGATTTGCAGTTTGTCTCACAAAAAAACCCCATCTCTCTCTCTACCCCTCTCAGGAGCTTTGTGGCCCCTATGTTTTCCTCATCTTCATGGTCTTTCTCATCTTATTCTTCATCTTCACCTACCTGCGAGTCCCCGAGACAAAAGGACGGACCTTTGACGACATTGCCCAGGGGTTCGCCGCCAAACCCACCCACTCTCCTGTGCCTGACGCAGTGGTTGTGCCAGAACCTGCACCCTTGTCACCCACGGAAAAGGTTCCCATGGTTGATCTTCCATCGGAGAGACAGTGAATAATCACAAAGAAGAGGGGGGACAAACATAGATCGTTTTAAGAGTATTAACACGCATAATGGAGAACAGCACTGATGTGTACTAATGCAGAGAAAAGGTTGTAGTTTGTTTACATGAAAATTCAAGCATGCCATCTTAAAGAATGAAAGTTTTTTTACTGATCGCCTTGTTAGAATTCTGTTAATAATTGACATAAGTCCCTTAAATCTTTGCAAAACCCAACTCCAGTATCAATGCTTAATATTCAGAGACTCTTAGTGCTTTGTGCTACATAAGAGGATCAGCATATATTCAAGTTTCCAGCTGCCCTCAGTGTTAAAAGGTTGCAGGCTTTTAGGGTTTTATGTATTGAGGTCAAACTTGAAAAGCCGGTTTTGGAGCCTGGCAGTTTGACCCAAAAAAAAGGCTGACTTGCTAGCCAGTGTGCCTTCCAGCCAGGGGCAGAACGCCATGTTATCTTAAATGACCATAGAAAAACACATGATGGAGGTACTGCAACAGTCCCTTTCAGGTTTATTAACAGCACCAATCTTAGACAGAACAAGTATTTTTAAGAACATAAAAGACAAAGACTTCTTGTCTACCTGCCAGCCTGTCCTGACAGTGGGAGATGTATTTGTTTGTTGTTTGGATCCTGCTGTGCTCATGCAGATAACGGTTTTGCACAGTGCGTCCTTCAGAAATACTATTAGTGGGAGGTAGAGAGAGAGAAGTTGTCTAACACTGCCAAGTCTGAACAAAACCCCTTTAAAGGCTTTTTCTTCTTTAAGCACACAGGCTTAAGCCTTTAGTTTCAGGCTTTTCGCTGCAGGAAACATAGTGAATAACAAAAAAAGGCGTGTCATAATGCAGTTGTATACAGCATGGAGAAACAGATGATAAAACTCAGGTGGCTCAATATGTAAATGTTTGTGGTTTCTAGCTACTGCCAAGAAAATACAGCTATCCATCACTGTACTTGAAATTTGCATCTGCATCTTTTGCTGCTCTGAGAACTGAACTGAAATGGTGTGTTCTCATTTGTGGCTTGTGTAGAATCCTGTTTGTGCCTGCTGATAACTGAATGCGCATCTCACTCAGAAGCAAAACATTAGCCACATGAGACAGAGGTGTTAGACAACAACACTATATTAATTGTATTTATTTGAGTGTTTAACGCACAAGAACTACTATTAAACGCATTGGTTTGGAATTGTCTGCAATTCTGTGTATATATTGAAGAGCCTTGACTCTCTGCGTCTTCATCAGCCGTTCGTCACATCCTAACGGGATGACGTGTCAATGTTTGTACTGTAGAATCTCCTCCTGGGTGTGTACTCTCTTGATGGGGATGGACTCTTCTCCTATGAGCTTCGCAGTTTGCACTTCTGCAGTCTCGCTAGTTTCTAGTGACTGCTCATATTGTGTGTACGGCTCCATTTTTATGTAAATACACTGCTTGTGTGTTTGTTTGATTCTTTTTTTGTGTTTCTTTCTGCTGTTTTTTCCCATTCAGATTGTCTCCTTGTTTTGCACTCAGCATCCTTGCTGTGGTTTATGCAGTGATCTTGCATTGTAATTCTTTCTTATATTCATATTTGTCAGATGTATATTTTGCTCTTTTAAAGTCTTTTGTGTAAATAAACAGAAATAATAAATCAGTCAGATGAAACTCTATTAAATGGAGGTTGAATTGAATGTGTATCCTGCTCTCAGAGACTTCATGAGTATTTTTTATGTTGCTTTTAACCTTATTTGAGAAACATGTTATCATGAAATTTTAATGAATGATGAGAAGTTTGTGTTGCGTGTGCCCTGCTGTAACTCCATTTCCTCTTCTGCAGTGTGGCAAAACCTCAGTTAGCCGGAACCAAACCCACTGACATACTGCACTGAAACCACATGTTCACCTGAGTCGAATTTTAAAAAAAAATATTCAAGGTTGTTGTTTTTTTTGGTTGGTTTCTTCACTCAAGTCAGAACACGTGGAGGGGAATTCCAATGTAATGTTTTAAATGGGCGGTGCAGAGGCGTGGTGGTGGTTTGCACCGTCGACCTCAATGCAAAAAGGTTCCTGGTCTAAGGCCACAGAAGATTGGAAGCTTTCTGCGTGGAGTTTGCGTGTTCTCTCTCGTTGCCCCAGCTGACTCCCACCATCCAAAGACATGCACCAAAGACTCAGCTTCCATCTCTCATTTTCCCAGTTCCTTTAATTTTCTAATTAAAGTGAAGAGCAGATCTCAGAATGAAGTCCAAAGCTTTAGGCCTCAGAATCTCTTTTTTTTTTTTTCTTTTCTTTTTTACTTTGAGTGAGAGCTGCTGCCCAAGATGAATACTTGTTTTCATGCAATGGAAATTCATTCAGGAGCATATAGAGCAATTGAAAGTGGAAAGTATAAAAGCATAGGCACAAGAACATTGAAAGATTATTCCTTTTTTTTTGCTTTCTGCTTTTTCATTTTTGTTGCACTTATTCAGATATCTTTATAGAAATATCTATCTTGAAAGTGGAGCTGTGATTAAGGAAAACCTTAATCACAGCTCCACATTTCCTCACACTCAGCTGTTCAAAGCTGAGCGCTTTGCTGTTCAAACAAAGGGTCTCTGGGTGGTTGAGAACAGGACCTCCTAACAATGTCCAGGTGAGACAACAGGACTCACCATAACAGGGTACAGCAGCTTTTACCGATCCCAGTGAGGCAGAGCACGAAGCCCCATCAGCATTCTGCAGTTCTGCAGGCTGACCAGTGGGCGGCATGCGCAGACCAGGAGGGGGCTCCAGCCCTCTGTGTGTGCATGCGTGTGTGCTGTAAGTGCATGTCTACACACTGTCTGGAGTGTCCTGAGAGGCGAAGAGTGCGGTTGAGAGATGGAGGGGATAAGGGAGGGGGTTGTTAGGAAGAGGTAAGCCACATGAAAGATGGAGAACGTTCAGAAATGTGTCTGAATTCTGTCCATTTTCTATGAAGGCAGAAGTGAGAGTGATCAAGACAGACAAGAGGAAAGAAGTTCGGGAGTTTCACATGCCCCAGCTTAAAAAAAACAAAAAAAACAAGCAAGTTAGCACAGTGTCCAGACATGTGAGGGATTCCGCGTTCTGCAAGGCAGCATTACAACAGCCCTGGAATGGACGATGCTAGACGTGTCTAGACAGCCGTTTGTAGAGACAAGACAAACTTGTATTCGTTTTTTCAACCTCATTCTGTCTCCTGTCACCCTCCCATGATTTCACTCAATGTCTGTTGAAAAAACTCCCCTCCTCTCACGCTTTCTGATGTCTTCGTCTCCTCCTGTCTCTGTGACAACAGGGATTTTTTTTCACCTCCTTGCTTGGCAGCACACTTATTGTAAGTCCTGCTCTGTAAATATTTTTTCTCCCACCCTCATCCATTCATTCATCCACCACCACCCCAAATTGCCTCTTCCTCCCTCTTTCTCTCAGAGAAAGGGAGCAAACAGACTCCTCCCCCTCCCACCCCCCACCTCTCGCTCTGTCACACACTCATGCTCCATCTCCCTCTTTCTCTCTCTTTCATGCTCTGTCCTTCCTCCCTGTCTGTCAGTGTCATTCTGTGGTGGAGATGTGGAGTGTCTTTCTGTCTCTCTGTCTGTTTTTCCAGCCCAACTCAGCTGAGGAAGGTAAGAGCCAAACTTTTCTTTGAAAATATGTATGGTAAAGCTGTGACTTCCCATGTGTGTTTGTGGTTATAGCGTGATGGAGCTATAACGTGGCGGCTCTCATCATATGCGCTTAACCAGCCCGCAAGTAAAGAATGAAACATTTCTGTGATATTTCTCTGTCTATGGAGATATTTGTGAATTCATGTTACTTCCGAAATGTGTGAAACTATTGCACGCAAGGCCACAAACAAAAGCAGCCGAAGGGCTCCTCCTGCAGCTTTGGACCCCCGAATTATTACCAACCATCACTTTTTGTGTTGAAGTTTTATGTGTCTCAGTGCAACTGTGTTCGTTTGATATGCATGAACACACTTTGTTGCCCAAGATAAGATAAGACTTCGCTGGCATGACAGTGCCAGGTGCATGCCTGGTGCTCTCAAGACCCTGCAACAAAAGAATATGGAAATTAGGCAGTGGACAAATGAATAATAGGTTGCATAACCCATTTCTCTTTGCCTTTGGGCACAGCGACCCCCTGCCCCCTTGTGCCACTCATGATATCATGGATGTGACAGCCAGAGACCCATGGCCCCTCCAAGACTGTTACCACTGCCCTCCTTTTCTCCAACGTCCTCAACGGATGCTTTTCCTCCTCCTTGCTGCTAACTGTAACTGCTGTGCAGATCAAATGGAAACATTATGTGTCATAAAACGCGCAGAAGGGATTGTGTGCGGGAGAGAAAGACACAGACTGACAGACTGGAAAATGATGGATAGTTAAGTGAGACTTCAAGCATGAAGTGATTTGTCAGAGCAGAGTGGGATGACTGGAGAAAGCTGTGATGATTTGATGACTCAAACTGCTTTCAGCTGGTGTATGCGTGCGTTTATAAGAGTGAGTGGACAGTGTGGACTAATAAGTGTCCACATACAACTTTACATCTTGCCCCAAATACTATCGAGTGTGTCAACAGTCTGCACGCTATTACTTTCAAAGGACACGGCTGCATACTGGAAAGAGCCGCACCTGTTCACACTCAGCTCTCTTTGGCTTTACTGCTAAGTGTGTGTCAACGTATGTCAGTAACAGTCCATAACAGGGCTATCGTATATGTACGTCTCACGCTACAGATTTGTGCTGTGTTTGTAACAGATGGCTTGCACTGAGATGAGGCAGAATGACAGAGAGAAAAGGGGCTGCACAGTATTGCTGGCCTTCGGACTCTGTATCATTGAAATAGAGCTCTGCTTAATACAGTATTAACCCAATAGCACGGACATCTTTATAAATCCATATAAACTGAAGCATCGGGTTGTGTCGTAAAGAGAGGCCCTGATCGACGACAGCAATGCCTGAACCTCAAACCGCCTGGGTTTGAGGCCTGTCACCCAAGAACGAAAAAACTAAATAAAAAATAAAAAAACTTGTCCATTTGTCAGAAATAGAGAAGTTGTTAAATGTATTGATATAAATTATGAGATTGACATTTCTGTCTGGCAGTATTCACATGGCGTGGTAAAAAAAAAGTAAGAATTGACTTTAAAAAGGTAGAGTTATTGCCATGTGTAGTTTTTTAGAATGTTAATTTCTAACCCGAGCAATTTGAGTGTGAAAGTGCAACAGAAAATAAAGAATTATAAGAATTATAATTATAATTATAATCGTACGGAAGTAGACTAAAAAGTCATGCTGGACGAGTTTATAACTATAGTGTTCTCTGAAATGAAGGTGTTCGGAAAGCCACAGAGAGGGCCATTTTGTCCACTGTAATTGGAATTGTTTTCATATAATTTCACAAAAAGTAAAACAAAAAAAGACACCAAATAAGAACATAAACAGTTTTGAACTAAAAAACAAAAAAATGGCAGTTGTACATTTAAAAAAATCTTTTATAGTAAATTTGCAGTAATTCAGAATGCTGTAAAGATTTTTTAATGTTTTGTCAAAGCATCAGCTCACATATTTCCTGTCCACGTATATGTGATTTATGGCGTTCTGTAGCTTACATATTTTAATTTTTACGTGAAAGAGTATGATTTTACCTTTTTTTTTGTTAAATAGGTTTGTGCGTTGTACTTTTTAGCAGCCTGCAGTCTGCAATCTGCAGTAAGGTAACGTTTCTCAAGATGGAGAATAAGAAATACAGGAGCCATGTACTTTTACATCTAAAATCTCCAACCTGTTATTTTGGATTGAATTAATGCCATGATGTAGAATTTATTTTGATAGCCTCTAACGTAACTTTAGATCGCTAAAAAAGAACTCAACTCCATATTATGAGCTATTAGCATAGCTTACACATCAGAAAAACTTCTGATTATCTAAACTGAGAACACTGAGGTCTATTACAGCAGGTAATGCACTCACTACTTGAAAGTATTTCATACAAATCCAACTGAAAAAGGAACAAAACTACTATAATTCAATATGTGTTTGATTATAAAAGCTATCACTGGGTCTCTCTGTGCCTGAAGACCAATTAGTGAGGACAAGAGTCACATTTGATTTGTCAGCCTTGCACACTCCATATGTAGGTTGCAATGCTTTGCTGATCTAAGACCACACAGCTGGCTTCTGAATAGTTGGATTTGTGTCGGAAATTCTGTGTTCACACTGGATTAACACAAAACGCTGAAGGGGAACGCCTGTGTAGAAGAGTTTCTCTGTGTTTCTGCAAAGGATGAGTGGAGACAAAGTCAAGCTTATCAAACTGTATATTTCTGCAAATGAACCCTGCATCGTAAGGGAAACTTACTATGCAAAAAAAAAACAGCTTCGATTTTGATTGAATAGCAGCAAGTTGCAAAATCTATGGACAATCTCTCGTTGTTTTGTTTGAACTGAGCTGAAGATGAAAATACAACAACTCCACAAGTGGTTTCTTAAATTCAAAAGATGTAAATATGTTACTGGAGTTATTTCTGTTTGCAGTAACTATTGGCATTAAGGAGTTCATCATGACAGTCTGGTGGGGAACAACTGATCTCCACTCATCTTGCGGTACTTGAACTTAAGTTAATTAATAACCATCAAACATAATCACATACCAGTAGTTTAAAAAGAATCCAGTGAATCG